CCCGTGAGCCGCCTGGTGTGCTTTTGACCAGTTTTAACTAAAATGCCTGGGGGGGCGGACAGAGGTTTGGGGGAGACCCCGCGGCTTTGCCGAAGCGGGAATGCGAGGTCTGAAACGCCCTTATTGTCCAGCGTTTTCTTCAAGTCGGACAGACGGGTTTTATTAACCCACGAGCGGCCGCCCCTGAGCTCTCGGCCCGGGGCGGCCTTGCGGGCTCGCGGCTGCGGGGCCTGACCTCGGCTGGGCCCGCGGGGAGTCACAGGCAGCGGCGGAGTGGAAGGGAGGCGCGTTTTCAAACGCCCAGAGCCCCTGTGCGTTCCCACGCGTGTGCTGAGCGACAGCCGTCGTGCCCACGCTGGCCCGCAGCCGTCTAGGTGACGGGAAGGCGGCCTTTCGGGGCGGCCTGGGCGCCGGGCTCGTGCACCCCTTCCTCCCTCAGCCCCCATGGAAGCCTTGGGGGGAGTCAGGCTTTCAGCCGCGCCCCGCGAGCAGAGGCGTCCGCGACCCCGACGGGAAAGCGCGCTCCGCGGTCGCGCGTGGGACTCGCAGGAAATGCGGTGGGTCCGCGCGAACCAAACTAACGGCGCCCGCAGGAAAGCGGGCACGTCTTGAAGAGGCATTGAGGAAAGTAAAAGGAAAATTATGGCTGGCACAGCCTCTTTGTGCAAAGAAGTAGGAAATGCGTTGGATATGCCTAGGGGTGTTCTGAAGGCCCGCCGGGTGCCATTGTCAGAAAATTTTGCAAGTGCTATTTATTACTTTATTCATAAAAACGCGCCCGGCCAGGCGTGGCTCAGCGGTTGAGCGTGGACCGGGGATCCAGGCGATCGGGGTTCGATTCCCGGTCAGGGCACCTGCCCCGGTTGCGGCTGGATCCCCAGCAGGGGGCGTGCAGGAGGCAGCCGAGCAATGGCTCATCATGGATGTTTCTCTCTCTCTCCCTCTCCTTTCCTCCCTCTGAAATTAATAAAGATATATTTTTTAAAAAGTTTGCATTTTAACAAACAAAATAAATACCTTGACTAAGAAGAGCACACCCCAGTCCTTGGGAAAGCTAAGATCTGCACTCGGGTCATACTAGAGGTGGTGGGTTTTCCATGTTCTTTTAAACCCGAAGGCCAGACGCAGCTCGACAAGGTCCGTTTCCACAGGAAGGTGCAAAGCCAGGGTCACTCCTGTGGCACCCTCAGTGGGCATGTCCCAGGCAACCTGTCATCCTAGGCACCTGGCACCAAGAAACCAAGACCAAAGTCCAAGCTTCTCCTATTTGAACAATTTCTGTCGTCCTGGTTTCATTTTTATAAGTAAACATGGAGACACCAAACTCGTCATGACCAGTGCAAATTAATATAAACATTAAAGAAAAAGTGAAATCACTTACCCGTATTACCAGGATAGCAAAAGCACTTGGGCGTTGTTTTAGAGAGCCCAGGAGCGCAGTCCCTCATGTATCCTTCCTGCGAGCCTGATCCCCAGCTCCCGCTAACACACCCCCTGGCTGGCATTTGTCTTGGATGTAATTACCAAGTGCATGGCATGATAAAATGCCAGTCCCCTCATTTACAGATGTAGAAACAAGACCAGGGTAGTTAAATGATTTACCCAGGCCGTGAATTAGGCCAGAGCAGGAACAAGAGTCTACTTCTCATAACACAGGTCTCCAAAACATGTCATTTTTGAACTAAAAATATTTTAGGTAAGAGGTCTGAAGGGAGTTTTGTGACGGCCAAGACAGTCACTGCTAAAAACAGGGCAAGGACTCCTGTCCCAAACTGTGCCAGAAGCCACCCAGCCACACTAGAATGAAGGCATCCTTTCATCTCAGCTCTCGCAGTGGAACAGCGGGTTCTCCCAAACTACAAAGTAGGCCTCACTCAAGATAATCGTGAAAAATCCTGGGCAAACTTGGGGAGTAGGTGCTTTCCTCTTCTGTTTCCATTTGATCACCCATTCACACCTCTTTGCTCCCTCCCGTCTGCCTCCTTCCTTTGACAGGCTTTCCCCGTGTTGGTGCCTTATGTGGGCTCCCTCAGATCCCAGGACCCCGCATTGAACCCGGCACACACGTGAGGCTAGGTTCAGTCGTTTCCTCTACAGCCTGAGTTTCCATTACTTCCATTGGCGAGAATACAACTGATTAGCTAAGGATTTTGATTTGCATTTGCAGACTTTTTAAAAAATATATATATCTTTATTGACTTCAGAGAGAGGAAAGGAGAGGGAGGGAGAGGTAGAAACATCAATGATGAGAGAGTCATTGATCGGCTGCCTCCTGCACGCCCC